CCTAGGTCACCTGGGGCAGTGGCTCCACTGGTTTGGCCTGGAACCTCCCAGGGTCTTAAGAGTCAGGTGGATCTGGATTCCATGGCCATCCACTAATCCTGTGACCCTAGGCAGTCACTCCATCTTCCTGAGCCTCAGTTTCTTCCCCTCTAAAATGAGGATAATGGCCTGTCTGGACACTTAAGCCCTCTGCAAGTGGCTCCTAGGGTCCTGAGGGGACAGGCTTCTCCAGGAGGCCTGGTAGGCAGGGCCCAGCTGTAGATCAGGTCACCTGGTTTGTCACCCTGGACCCTGGCTCTGACCCCCTCCCACCTCCACCCCCACCCCCCAGACATGAAGTGGGGAGGGGGAAGCTGTGCCTGGGCTCTGGGGCAGGAGATGGAGCCTGGATGGGCCGCCTGGGTCCCAAGAGGCCTAGGGAACATTGCTGGGAAAAGGAATCTGGGTCTGATTCAGAGGCAAACAGATTGTTCTTTTGATTAAAGCCACAGTGTCTGAGGCCAGAGGAGCACTGGACTCAGCGCCATCTCGGGGGAGGCCAGGCAGGGTCTGGCTCTCCTCTGTGGGCCTGAAGCTACAGTCACCCTGGCCAGGTTGGCCCTGGGGCTGCTCTTGTGGGGCTTGTGGGGGTGGGGGTGCGCCTGGGCACCAGGTCCCGTGCTCCTCCACCTCCTCCCTCTCTAAATCCCTCATCCGCGTTTTGTCGCCTCTCCCGTCCCTCTTCCATCCCTCTTCTCATCACTTTCTTCATTTGATCCTCGCAGCCACTCTACAATGACAGCAACAGCAGTAACAGTAGCTGCGCTTTTTAGGGGCCTCCCATCTGCGGGCGCTTGGCCTACAGACCTTTCCATTTAAACCCCAGGAGAGCCCTGTGGGAAAGGGCTGATTTTTCCTGTTTCATAGACAAGGACACTGAGGCCCAGAGCGGCTCAAAGCAACACAAGAGGCAAGTGGCAGGGCTGGATTCAAACCCAGACCAGTGGGTGCCCCTGGGCACACACGCTGCCCTGCTGGTCCCAGGGGCCGGCATGACTGCCACGCTTCACGATGCCAAGGGAGGTGACTCCTTCCCTATTTGGCAGAGGGAAACTCCCACTCCAGGCTGCCTGAGCCCCTGCTCGGGCTCATTCCCCCGCTTGGCAAGGATGCCGCCTTTTGCTGCACTGCTTGGAGCAGGACTTCCCTATACCCCGCCAGGAAGAAGGAGGGAACCACTGAACACCAGAGACAGGGAGGACCTTAAGGAGGAAGGTACAAAATAGGGGTTTTCAGACACTTTTGGCCATAGAATCCCCTTTTCAAGTGCTTTGTAATCCAGGAGTCTATTTAAAATAAATAAAAATGGAGCCCCCCCCCCACCTCCATGATATCCCCTGAGCCTCCTACTACACCTCCAGGTGGGACAGTGAGGCACCAAAGGGTTGATCTGGGGCCTTGTCCAAGGTCACACCAACTCCAGCTAGGACCCAGGCCTCCCACCTGCTCTGGGCTAAAACCGGCTTGGGAAGGGGGAAGGTCCCAGGGATGTGGGATCCAGCTGCCAGCACTTACCAGCTGTCCAACACCCCTAGTCTCTTGTCCCACCTCTACCACTGTTCCCAGGTGGAGAGGAGCCTTCTGGTCAAGGGACTCCCGCACCAGTCCTGGTGTCAGTGTCACCTCGGCAGGTGCCCAGCTTCCTGCAATGGAAACCCAGGAAGTGCACTGGATGAGAACACACGCCCTTTGTCTGCCAGCTCAGAGGCCCTGCTCCCCTCCTCCTGTCCTACCAGTCTCCAGCAGCTTTCTCTGAAGCAACTGAGCAAGGGGGCTCCATCTTCTATTAGGGTCATAGCAGCTGAGCTCCTGGGAAAGGGTGGGAGAGAAATGTAGGGAGTAAGATCCAGGGCTGTGGGGACATTTGCTGCTGTCCATTCTGCTGGGGAGCAGGGCACCTACTGCGCACAGAGGAGTCAGGAACCTACTACATGCTTGGCTCAAGTCAAGGAGCTCAGGGGAGTGGAGTCAGACCATCTTTGTCCTCACGGAACTTACAGAGAGGTAGGGGAGAGCGACCCACAATAAAAATAAAATTACCAATTACGGTGACATGTGCTATGAAGGAATGAGCAAGGGGCTGAGGGAGAAAAAGGGGTGTGGGTGGGGGTAGGGCAGGCCTCTCTGGTGGGGAGGTGACATTTAAGCTGAGATGAGGAGGAGCTAGCCACGAGAGGAACAGGGCAGAACATTCCATTCCAGGGAAAGGGGGGCAGTAGGGAAAACATGGGCTTTGAGGTCAGACTTAGGCTTAACTCTCAGCTCCCTGGTGTTGGCTGTGACCTGGGACAAGTTCCTTCCCCCTCCAGTGTGCTGCTTCCTCACCTGTAACACAGGGCAGCGGGACTGGACGCCCTCAGATGACGGCATGAATGCTTCCCTTTGCAGAACTGCTGGGAGCAGAGGCAGGGATCAGGCACGCCAGGGCCTGGCCCATAGTTGGTGCCCCACCCGTGGTGGCGCTGGCTGTTCCCACATCCCTCTTGCCTGGTTTCCAGAGCGCTCTGCTCACACAGTCTCTTTGCTCTGCAGCTGGATCCTGGATCAGGCCTGGGGAG